ATGTGTGTTGATGCTTTTGGAATACAATGTCTTCATGCCGAACAGATTCTAACAAATGGTGGCTTGCATATATTTATGTTCCATCCGCCCGCAGATTGAACTCATATACTTGATTCCATACCTCGGCCAGGCTATACCTCAAACACAAATGTCCCGCAGGGGCTTGCAGCTTTTAGCGCAGAGCTATTTTTTAATTATCTAGAGCCGATCGTGAGGAGTTACATCGAGCAAGCCCCGCCTCTCCAAACATGATGTGGGATTAAATGCAGCTTCACAAGCCACCAGGCATCTAACCAGGTTAACGTCCAACTTTCAGGGGCGCGGGTTTCCGTCGGGCCAAGACGACATCCACGATGATCTTTCTGAAGATATAGCTATCTCAAGATATTCTTCGACCAGTGACAAGATTGCCCGCAGGTCTCCCGTGTTTGTCCTATGCAAGGTTAGCTGCTGGCGTGAGCAAGTTTTTCATGCGGAAGAGATACCACCCTCTTTCCTTCCCCTGCCGTCCTTCTGGGTAACCCGGGGGGGTGGGATGGACGGCACGCATGAGAGAGGAAACCGCGGCACTCTACTTCGAAACTGTAATATGAGTCCGACGGACTATAAAGAAGTCGATCTTTTCTCGAGAATTGGAGCTTTTTTTATTCAAGCTGCATTCAAAACATCTGAATCTCAACCTTCTCTTATTTACCTGAAAGCATCATGCGTTTTGCTGCCCTTTCCACTGTTCTTTTGGCTCTAGCACAGCATGTGCACGCCTTGCCAGTCGAGACTGATAAAACCTCTGCGCTCGATATCACCCTGAGTCATCTAACTGACACCCGCATCAAGGCTGTTGTAAAGAACTCTGGCAGCGAAGATGTCACATTTGTGCACCTCAACTTTTTCCGTGACACCGCACCCGTCAAGAAAGTCAATGTCTTCAAGAACGGTATCTAACCTCCCCTCTGGATCTCTATTGATACAATACTGACCTGTTATCAGATGCTGAGGTCACTTTTGAGGGAATCAAGCGCCGGTTCGTTCTGAATGGTCTCACCTCGGAGTCCCTCACCTCCCTTGCTGCAGGAGAGACCTTTGAGGATGAATTTGACATTGCCACTACCAGTGACCTGTCTAGTGGAGGCCCATTGACCCTTCGTTCAACTGGCCTAGTTCCCTTAGTCACTGATGGCGCGGTCACTGGCTATCTGCCATACCGTTCCAATGATCTCAAGATTGAGGTTGATGGTGTCAAGGCATCCCGTGTGTTGAAGGCTATCAAGCCGCTTGATCGTCGCGCACTTCAAACATGTAGTGATTCAAGCAAGAAGTCTGCACTTGCCAAGGCTCTCAAGAACACCGTGACTCTCGCAACCGATGCTGCAGAAGCTGCCCTTTCTGGATCTTCTACCAAGTATGTACGTGCCACTTGACTATGAATTAACTATTCTAATAGCATCCAATAGGTTCAGTGAGTACTTCGGGACTACCAGCGCCGCTACACGCAAAGTCGTGGCTGCTCGCCTCAAGGCTGTGGCAAAGGAGGCCGGCTCAAACACTGCCACTAAGTACTACTGCGAGGATACCTTGGGATAGTCAGTGCTTCTCTTCCGTAAAGACTTTATGTGCATATGTGGCTTACAAACTTAATCCAAATAGCTGCGAGACCAATGTCTTGGCTTACACATTGCCATCTCAAAATGTGATCGCCAACTGTGATATCTACTACAGCGACCTTCCAGCATTGACTAGCAAATGCCACAACCAAGATCAAGCAACTACAACCCTCCATGAGTTCACCCACGCTCCAGCAGTATACAGCCCAGGAACCGAAGACAACGGGTACGGATATAGCGCCGCGACAGCCCTCTCTAGCGCAGATGCTGTGCTAAACGCTGACTCGTATGCACTGTATGCCAATGGTTAGTGTTGGAAATTGAGTTGAGCCCCCTTAATGAAAAATGAGCTAACGAGCAAATAGCAATCGCTCTTGGCTGCTAAATAATTAATTCTCCGTACAACTTTTCCGAGGGGAGGGGTAAAGTACGAAGTGCTAGGGCCAATTTGACTTTGGTAGATGTCAAGTTGGATGTTCTGATGAGGCCTGTCAATGAGAGACTAGTTCTCGGAGCACAGTGATGGTGAATGGGGATTAGTTGAGGTAGATTATGAATGAGAATATCCAGTGATAACGCGTGTTCTCGCCTTGATGTAATGCAAATACAGTCAGCTGTTTGGAAGGGCCGTCTTATTTGACAAGTTATACTTACTCGCGTAAATAGCAAGACATTTTTGCGATTTCGAGGGTCCCAAGCCCGGCGGATTCGACGCTATGGTCCTTGAAAATAGACTCGGCTTTCAGATGAAATTTCGGGTATCAATTAATCAATCAAGCAAAGTTCAATTAACCTATTATAGCCTAACTAGTTGCGCATGACTATGTAGGCGCTTTATCCAACTGAGGCAAGAACTCAAAGTCAAACGCCGAGTGAGATCTCTGTCCTAGAGTATATAAATGCTGATCGCGAAGAGTGCCGAATCAGCCTATTCCTATAACCCGTAAACCTGTAAACCCATTAATCTGGTCATCTCCCCGGATTCTGTAGGATATAAACGGGCAGGCTCTGCCACCGTTATCGGTAATTTGTGTTAGCTGCGCGCATTGGCTCATAGGAATTCAATCGAGGTGCATTAGCGTAGTGAAGGTAATTTAGTTTAATTACGAGGGTTAAGGAACCAATGGCGAACACAGGCACCAAAGCAGTGGGTAGGTAGTCTCATGACAGGTGAGATTGATGCATAATTTTGGTGCTAGGTGGCTGAGACAAGAGAAACAGTAAGAAAATGAAAGCCGGCGACTTATTATATGTGACTATCGAGGTGATATTTCTTTTTTGAATTGTTTTTATTCTAATTCAGGAGAGGAGGAGAAGAGGAGATCAAGAAGTAAGCACTAGGCGGACAATGTCGGCAGATGAGTCATCACCGAAACCGGCAACCTTGTGGGATTCACAGAAAAAAAGAAAAAAGAAAAAAAAAGAAATCAGAGCAATTCCTCTCCTACTCAGCCATATAAAGAAATACCAGCGGATTCAACACCGTCCTCTCATATATCATGGCTTCTAGCTTCATTTTGACCCTTTCCGGCCCCGACCGCCCGGGTATTGTCCACGCGGTCACTGCATTCCTTGTGCAGAACAACCTCAACATTATCGATTCGTCGCAATTCGGTGATCCTGCCTCTAAGCGCTTCTTTATGCGGACACAATTTGGGATTGCAAGTGGAGGAGATGAAACCCCCGAACTTGAGAAATTGCGCACTGCATTCGAGCCCACTGCTCAGTCGTTCTCCCTGAACTTCGAGATCAACCCCACTGTGAAGAAGCCCCGCGTGCTGATCATGGTCTCCAAGATTGGCCACTGCCTGAACGACCTGCTATTCCGCCAATCTACCGGTCAGCTGAGCATTGAGGTGCCCCTAATCGTTTCCAACCACCCGGACTTCGCTACCCTTGCAGCCACCTATAATATTCCATTCCACCACCTCCCCGTCACCGCGGATACTAAGGCCCAGCAGGAGGCCCAGATCTTGGAATTGGTGAGCCAACACAATATTGATTTGATTGTGCTGGCCCGGTATATGCAGGTGTTGTCCCCGACCCTTTGTACCGCCATGTCCGGTCGCATCATCAACATCCACCACAGCTTCCTGCCCTCTTTCAAGGGTGCCAAGCCCTACCATCAAGCCTACGACCGCGGTGTGAAAATCATCGGTGCCACTGCCCATTTCGTCACCAGTGACCTGGATGAAGGCCCGATCATCGAACAGAATGTTGTTCGGGTCAATCACGGCATGAGCCCCAAGGAGTTGACTCATGCCGGCAGCAATGTGGAGAGCAATGTCCTCGCCACGGCTGTCAAGTACGTGACAGAGCGTCGTGTGATCTTGAACGGCCACAAGACTGTTGTCTTTAACTGACCTTCTACTCAAGTCTGATTCTTGTATATTATAATAATAAAAACAAGTCCATAACTCGAATACATATTTGAACCGTTTAGATTTAAAATTCTAGATTTGCTTTTTGTTCTGTCAGCTGCGGGGAAGACCCCGAGATAAAACTCAACATCTGAAAGATTCCATCCACACACACCAAAATGACTTATACCGTGGCTCCGCATCTCAAATACTTCACCATCCCGCTCACGGACTTTGTGGCCGCTCGACCTGAATTTGAAGGGTTTGGTGTTGGCGCGTACGTTTTCTCCCATGCTGATCCCACCCCGCGCGTCCTTCTTCTTCAGCGCGCATTGACGGACTCAATGCCTGGCTGCTGGGAGGGCCCCGGAGGCGCATGTGAACTGGAAACCGACAAAACGTTACTCGATTCTCTTGTGCGTGAAACGCTAGAAGAAAGTGGATTGCGTGTTTCTAGCATTATCGACCTCGTTGCGGTGGATTGCTGGGAGCATCATCGCCGTAGTGGCGGCAAAATCCGGATTGTCAAGTACTCGTTCGTTGTCGAGGTTCAAGAGGCGTTGCGATGGTCAGGAGGGAAACACCAACCGGTGCCAACACTCCAAATACCTGTTCAACTCGAGCCACTGGAGCACCAGCAGTTCGACTGGGCGATAAAAGAGGACGTTCTGCTTTCTATTCGGTCACCCAACGGTCGATACAGATTCCCATTGCCCTTAATTGGCCACCAAGCACCTAATATCCTCCGGGCTTTTGAATTGGTTGAAGAATGGGGGAGCAAGGAATCAATGGCCTGAACTTGCTCAGTAATGTTTTTAATGAGTGTTCATATTGAAAAAAAGTGACACGTCGGCCCCTTTTCTTTCTAGTTGTCTCGATTTGTTTATTACTAGAGCACATCAAGTAAAACGGGCGCAACCGCCCTAAACGGTAAGATTACGAAAGGAAGATATATCAGTTGTAACGGACGTTATTTTATACACGAAGAAAATCTTCCATATCGAGAAACCCTACGTCCGCGCCCACTCGGATGGGTTGGTTATTTTGCCCCAGCAGAACCCGAACTGGATTTTGAGGACCTAGGCGGGACTTCCCCAGGCATCGGCTTGCGAGCCCACACTCTTCTGCTGCACTGGTGGTCAGTTCTGGCCGATGAAGAACTCGAGCGGATGAACAGATCAGAACTTACGCTTTGTGATACGCATGGTAGTATGGGTTCTTGAGTTCACTGCGTATCTTGGCACAGTATACATGGACTTGCTCCTTAGTCCACGGCTCAGGGTCACCGAATTTCGTTAGCAGCCACATGCACCACCCCTCCATACCAGACATCCAGTGTTGGCAATTAACCACACCTGCCTCCTTGAACTTTTGGTCTTTGGGCCATGGCCCGATTGGCCATTTGTAGATCTTTTCGTGCACGTCCACAAATCCAGCGTTCTGGATGCTCTCCGACATGGTGAGGACAATGTCGCATGAGCGCCCAGCGCGGTCACCGCATGTCTGCATAAGTGGACCCCATGAGGACAAGGCGCTATCGGCTGGGAGAGTCCCATCATCACTTGTGATGAAAGGCCCGACCTCGATCTGCTCGATCCACCCACCAGGGGCCATTTTCCTGTTTTGTCAGACCTTTTATAGCGGAGAGGCTCCAGGGCTGGTTGAGGGCTTACTCAAAACACTGCTGGTAAACAAGGTCCCACTCAGAAGAGTCGAATGATCCGATCATATTGCGCATGTGAATTAGATCAAATTGTTCGCGCCACATCCAGTCTTGCAGCACATCATCAACCTCAATGACGCAATTGGGCGGCATCCAGGTGACCGGAGGTGGGAAAAGATCAACGCCTCGGACAGTAGCATTCGGGAACATATCGGCGACATCTCTAGGAATGATGAGTACCTCATAAATAAGCCCTAAAACTAGGGACAGACGTACATGGCCCAAGTACCCTTTCCAGTTCCGATATCAAGAACCTGTAGCGGGCGTTCTCTGTCAGTGCCGATGGGTGACCGAAACAGTGGATTGGCTCGATCTGAGTCCATGATGAGATCCACGAGATGCCTGCGGTATTGGTTAAGAGGCGTGTTCTGGACTTGGGGGCTTGAGATATGTACCCTGCCTCATAAGTCTCAAATTGTTGCTCATCAGATGGAATACTAAAATAAATTAGTAAGGTTTATATTGTGTAACGTTTTACATACCAATATTCTTTGTTTGACAGCGATTGATATCTATAGGAAATATGAGGTTAAGATAAATAGATCCAATACGAAGCTCTTACCGCCTCCCATTGTCCATCAAACCACGATAAATTGACGACCCAATCGAGGTGGTCTCCCTAATGACGCGTAAGAACATATGACTTATAAATTATCTGCAAACTCACGACTGCCAGTCATCGGGGCTATAAGCGCATTCAGGGGCGTACAAGTCTGGATCCACAGCGATGGCCTCCATGATTGTCTCTTTTAAAAATAAAACTAAAAATAAAAATAAGGCTGAGTAAGGAAAACCAATATACAATATTGTATGGGACCTCGTGGAACAGGGAGAGAGAAGAGAATAATAGTTAAAGCCCTGGAGAGACCTCGGGATCAAGGTTAATATTAATAACCCGTGAACCTTTTTGACTTTTCCCGCAAGGAGATGGCTGATTGGCTGCGGAAACGGCACCTTACCTTTCAAGGCTTGCCCAACTCCGTCAACCTTGGAATTTGAAACCTTGGCGTTGTCATTCCCCACACGGAAGAACCATCAGCTTTCCGCTGGGTTTACTATTGGCTGATTACATTATTCACGTACTGTCCGTACTACCTAGGTAGTACTACGTTTGTACTATAATTCATAACGTATACGGAGTACTGACAGGTCAAATTCAAAAGTACATCCCTTGGAACTCCTACTCCGCACACTGTTCATGAATATACGTATTACCATGTAGGCGTCTTCGACTATTTGGTAACTTATTATCGATCGGGCTGCGGGAACCCTTGAAATGACTATAGCCTTGTCTAGTCCCAAAGTACTTTGAACGCCGCCGGGTCAGATGACAAGATATGAGTTATGCTATTCTCCTGCAGCCTAGGGCTTTGCGGCAAAGCATGGACCCTGCCATAAAGATAGCATTAGGAGGCTTATGCATTTACTCCGTACCATGTGCAAGTCAAGTCAGTTCCTTCGGTGTTGAGGTACCCGTTTTCGAGCGGTGTGCAGGGCAAGTATTGTGAAGGGACGGGGTATTGTGTAACCTCTTTATAACCTTCGTGGATTAATATTTATATTTAAAACATGTTGACCTAAAGACTGGGTAAGCCTAAAGAAAATATTGACCGGGAACGGTGGCTGAAGGTAAACCATCAACTCTCGATCAACTAGTTCACATTTTAGAAAACACTCGGGGAATACATCTAGATGTTCTGGATGATAAGCATACTTGAACCCCTCTGCGCCGCCTGCTTTATTGGGGATGATGAAATTTTCGCCTGGGCTTTTAGAGGCATCCCATTCCACGCAGTATTTGGACAGTAGGCTTTCTTCTAGAGGCGCCTCGAGCTCAGGGCTGATTTTTAGTTCCAAGGGAATGGCAAAGACCTATAATTCGTTTGGAAAGCCCGGGATATTCTGAAATGACCGCTTCCGGCTTTCTGGGGACCATGCCGTTGATCCTAGGGTTAACAACGTACCTCAAGTGCAGGCACTAGTTAAGTAAAGTGAGAGAGCGAAGAAAACCTTGCAAATGATTGAATACCAAGGCATGAATGTCAGGTTCCCTTTTTTTGTTGTGTGTTTGGCAATTGTCAAGTCACACCTATGGGGTACACTATCCTCCACACTGAATTCTACCGAGAGCGCGCGCAACCTGGAATGCTGGCAGTTGGCTTGGGCTCGCATATACGTATGTCTATCAGGGGCAGTAGGTTGCCTCGCAATTGGACTAGGCGCCGCGGATGTCACTTTACCATTGGTAGGTAACTGGGGAAACATTGCTCAAAGTCCCAGAAACCATCAATATACGCCTCGTTGGAGCAGCGAAGACTGGTATCGCGGGCAAAGATGTCATTTTATACAACTTGCAAGTGCTGCATCCAATCTCTCTATCTTAGGTTTAGGGCTTGGTGTGGATTAGACTCGAAACGGATGGAAATTAGGAGATAATTGCTGGAAGCGTATATTTGCTATGGAACGATCACGGGAAGGAAATTGGAGGAAGACGGGGTGGCTGTGTCGTTTTGAAAGGAAGCCTTGAAAGGAACAGGCTGCTTCGCCTGAGGAAGTTATATTGCCAGCGTGAATCAAGTACGGAGTAAATATCTGGTCATCAATCACATTTTGAGTGAACAAAATTAGAATGAGTGCTGTCGTCTATTGAGCGAATAAGCCCTTTTGAGTATTTTAACTCGTAACAGAATTTAGTTTTGTCTACCGAGATACTTGCCCCGCGCCTCAAGAGGTCCGGGAGTCAGTCATCCGGGCCCATGTATCTGACCCTCTTCGATTCATCAGCTTGACACGATTTCTGAGGATAGTACCAATATATAACGGGGTCTACACTAAGTACAACGCAATTAGTATTTTGTACAAGTTTGACTTCATATTGATGGTACTTTCCGTAATACTTTCATGGTTTATAGAGGCCGAGCAGACAGCGATAATTGGATATTATGGAACACGCCACAAGCCTTTGAGATTCACACGCTTATGGCAGAAATTTAGAGCTACTGCGGTTATTGGTCGATGATGTCGACGTTTCTTTCCTTTCCCCGTCATGATGGCAAAGAACAACCAAGTGAGATAGGTTGAAGTTATGACTACAGATCCTGGCGTCAGAGCATGTTAGATAAAATTCCACTGAGCTGCTGGGATTTGCTGGAAAGACTGTGACAATACATTGATAGAAATATCCAAAAAGAATGTTTGTTGGAACCAGTGAGGGTCTGTGAGAGGTGACATGATTTCCGCGGGAACACCACGAGGGAGGCAACGAACCTTCGCTTCGTCCTATCCGCGATAATAAATTTGGGAAGTTATTCCACAGCGCTATACGTATCATACTGCGTTAGTAGTGTGTGACACTAGCTACTATGAGGAAGGAGAACACTATTAATGGAAAGCCGAGGTGCAGTGTTGGGTGAAATATAAGACATATATGTGGTCGGCTATTCGAGAATTAACCCTAGTTATGTTATGGTGATTATTATGGAGTAGAGCCGAAATAAAAAAACTTGATTCAACCATCTTACTGCGTTGTATAGCACTGCTTTGTTGTTGATAGCTGATCTTGACACTAACTTTGTTTCAGACTGAAATCTACCAGCGCTCTAAATATCTTCCACTTTCTTCTCTTCTGTTTCAGACATGTGATGCGGTTCGTATGGCACCTCGTCCCACATGTCACTTGCTCCAGGAATAAAAACTGCCCAGGCTAGGATCCAATACACTGCCCCGGAGACAATGAACCCCGAAAAGTAGTTGACGTTATAAATGTATCTGGCACCCATAGGAACATCGACACCAATGGCGCCAGCAAAACCAACAATATTGATCAAGATACCGAATATGTAGGCGACATAACCGTACCAAGAAACACCAAAGGTTCCGTAATAAGTGCCACCCTGTTGGGCGCTATACAGGGATTGGACGTCAAGAAAGCCCTTACGGACTAGATAGTAGTCACTAGCCATGACCCCTGCGATAGAGGAAAGAAACACTGAATACGCAGAGAGGTATAGGGTGAATTTACTCGAAGATTCAACCAAGGTCCACTGGAGTAGGTGATTAGTATTCGTGCCACTAGTAGGGGGGTTTCGGGTTACTCACAGGACACATAGCAAGACCGATCGCCGCACAGAGATATCCTCCCCGTCGAATTGTGCAAAACCGAGGGAGAAGAGCGGTGAGATTCGTACCAGCTGACACGGAGTTGGCTGCAATGTTAGTCCCTAGCTGTGCCAGGGCAAATCCAGCTGCGATAACAAAGATCCCAAATCGCTCGGCAGAGTTTGCATCCTGTAAAAACATACCGAGAAGGGTAAGAGGGTTCCAAACTGCTTGGCCGAAAATAACGCTAGATGATGAAGAAACGATGATGCCGATGAACGATGTGACCGCAAATCCAACAGGAATTGTGATCAGCTGGGGCCAGAGTGCGTCCTTGGGATCGTGAGCATATCTCGTGAAATCAGGATTGTTGATAACCAGAGCAGCAAAGTTTGCAATACAGCTCATAATACTTTTCAAAAATGCCCATGCTAAATCACTGCCATGAGCCTGGTAGGACTGGTCAATTATCGGTCCAAGTCCGTGGGCACGAGCAATTGCCCAACCAAAGAATGCAATAGCACACGCTGGGGAAAAGTATGCCTTGACCGTAAAGAGGTGTCGGACCTTGTAAATAGGAAACCAAAGAGCCGGCAAGGACAGCAACCAGAAAAACAGGAAGCTTACGAACTGCTTAGTGGTTACCCCGGATGAAGTGGGAATCGAATTTGGTAGATTGTTGTAGCTCGGCCAGATGGCAGCAATCATCAACGTCACGCATTCACCTGAAATTTTGAAATGATTAGTTCATTCATTGGTGAGAGTCGTCCTCAAAAATACCTCACCTCCTAGATATGTCTTTTATGCGGGATATAGTTAGAAATGGACGCAGATGTAGAGATAATTTGCATACCTGTACACCATACCAAATTATAGCCATCGCTGCTCGGTTGATAATTGGCCATAACGAACCCCAAATCCCGAATGAAGCTCGATTAGCCACCGCAAAAGGAATACGATAGATGGTAGCAATTCGGCCCAACATGTAAACAAAAACGGCTGACACAGTATAACCAATCCAAACGCAAAGCCACGACTGCCACCAAGACAATCCGTCGACTATCATTGAAGATGAAATCATCCATGTGTTCTGTATAATAGGGTGAGATACATCAGTATATGCCTAAAAGTGCAAGGAATGACCGAAGAGGAGTTTTGTCTTGAGGATCTGACCATGCGGTATCAATGCAAACCTACCACATTTAAGGAATCCGCAATCCAAAATGCAACAAAATTGAGCCATCCCCATTGACGGCGTTCTGGATCAACTGAACGCAAAATCGGAAGCCGAGTGTGTCAGCTAAGTAAAGATCAATGGTGAATGAATGGCATTGACGTTTCTTCATGAAGGCAAGATCATGATTTCAAATATGGAACGTCCCAGGGATATGTTGGCCATAGTCTTACCTGGGCGAAGATCATCGTTTATCAACATCAGCTGTGCCGTTGACAATCCCGGCTCGACAGGTACCTGGGCCTTCCTGAGCCAAAATGTCAACTGACCTAGAGTCATGGTGATGACCAAATGACTTTGATGATAATATCAAGCCGTTGAAACGTATCCAAGATGGTTTTGATAACCAAATCAAACGGGGACTAAGTGTATAACTTAGAGACGACTGAAAGATAGTGGGCTGGTCACGAAAAAAAGGAAGTGGAGGATGTTGGCCTGATGTACTTAAGGGGGAAAAGTTGATCTATGGAGAAAACCCCAATCCGCATTAGGTAGATTTGGATGTATATCAGCTTTGCCGACGAGCATCCAAACCCATGCCGTGTGAACTCTAACCCCGCATCTGGTCGACCTGGTGTGTCGTTATCCACTTACCCCAAAGTGTATGAAGGCGTGCGGTTTTAGGTAACACGCTATTCAATAAGTTTTCTCCGAAGCGGAATCCGCTTTCTTTAACATTTTAACTTAAATTTATCCTTACTGTGTATTCACCAATTCAATTATATACGGAGACGGATTTTGAGGATGGTGGAAGAACAAATGACTACTGTGTCTTTGAGGTAGCTCAAACTAATCTCGAACCATTCGTTGAGCACAGGGGTCTTTTCCTTCGTCCTTTGTAATATCAAAGTGTCGGTTAGCCCTCTTCCAGTTACTAAGTACAAGTCAGATGGTTACGTTAGGCGTGCAATATCAGCCTTAGGGCTTCACATCTCAGGCCAAGGAAGCGAGAGAAACGGGGATATGTATTAGGAAGGGAATTATCCAGATAAACCGAAAATGTGACTTACTAGGTAGATATGAAGGCCGAAGAACCAGATATCGTAATAGCCAAAAACTTATTCCTGCCACACCCTCAAATCCTCGTTTGAGAATGGAATCATCTGTGGTGTGAGGTCTGGGGCCCTATGGAATGTTTTGTCAAAAGGCCACATTGGACGGGGGATGCGTTGATGCCCGAGGCGCTGTAGATCTTGGTCAACGCCCCCAGGAGTCAAACCAAGCATCCAGTCTGCCGCTATATCAAACAACTCTGGTTCAAGATAGCCAATCTTGACTATGACGATGTCTGCCGTACGCGGACTAAGGCCAAGACCGATAAAATCACTCTCATGGTGATACGGCTTGCGTAGTTTGGTGACGATCGTAAACACACTTCCAACCTGCAGAACTGCTTCAATTTCAGCATCGCGATCCCCATACCGGATAGCATGAACGCGTCCAGTCATGGTGATGGGCCCAGCATGTAGATTGTCCACTTGTGCCCCAGCCGTGATAGTAACAATAGCACCGATACCAGCCTTGATTATAATGTCAATTGCCTGAGGTCCAGGAATACTAGCATAAATCACAGATAGATTGGATTCTTTCCAAAACTCAGGTCGCTTTAGTAATTGATCCAATCCAAAGGTCACGTCGCCCGACCCACCAGCGGTAGGATTATCTCCTGAATCTGAGATGAAGAAGGGCCTATTTAAAGATACCAGTGCGTTGTCAATGCATTCGGAGAAAGAGCCGGTCGGTGCAACAAAATGGAAGTCGGCATGGACACGCCAGAACAAAGATGCAAGTCGCTCGGCCCCTTTAGCGACAGTAGCCCTATCCCACCCAGTGACCATTACCACAGCATGATTTCGTGGCTCATCTGCCCACGCATAGCCAACCCATATGGCTGCATCAAGGACCTCATCTATCGATTCAATTTCGGCAACGAGCGAATACAGACTTTTTGCCGGTTCGTTGCGAGTCGAAGTCTGCTCTCCCGGCAGCAAGATGGGAACTGGGACCCATGCTTTCAGGGGTCTATTTCCTCTCCAAGTGTCGGATCGCGATGTCAAAACATTGACAAGATTGCGACATGCCCGTTCTTTTGTTTCCAGTTCATCCTCGTGAGGTGCCATGCGATAACAAGTGATCAAGTCAGTCTGGTGGGCCAGCTCCTTGGACACATTTCCATGCAAATCCATGGATGCCGAGACCAAAACATCTGGTCCAATAACTGTTCGAATGCGCCGGAGAAGCTCTGACTCCACGTCTTCCATACCCTCAACACACATTGCGCCATGAATATCGTACCATAATCCGTCGATAGGGTTTGAAGCGACCATGCCAGCCAACCGCTCCAAAATTTCCCTAGAAAGTTGTTCGAAATCAGCTCGTACCACGACTCCACCCGGAAGCGCATGACCTATGAGCGCACCCTTCCAATCTGCGATATTCGCTAGTGGAGTGCCATGATGTAGAAAAGCGTACTTCTCAATCACTTCCCCGCCACGGCGCGGGTGAAACGCCCCGCCCAGCGTTCGAGCGGGGGTAAAGGTCGAGGTCTCACAAGCAAGTCCTGCTATTGCGATAACTGGTCGTTGAGACATTCTTCTCGAAGGGTGTAAGAATGGTGGAAAAAGTGCACGGATGGTGAGGGTGGGAAGATCAAAGGAATGTGGTTGCAGCCCTGAAGGCTTCCTAGGTTTTGACTTCAGATCTTTTCACTCGTTCTCCCCGCCCCGGTAACAACACCATTCTGAAGAGTTATTACCTAGGTACATACCAATATTGATGTATGTGGATGAGGCAAATGATTAAAATACATATAATAATATAAAGACCTGGCCACCTCCTACAGAATAGGTATTTGGTATTTGGGCTCAGGCCTAACACTACCAATCAGGTGACCCCCCCCTCCCCGCCCACAGGCAGTCGCACGTACAAAAGCCCTTTTTCCCCAACACCCATTCCCCATTCCCGTACTCCATACAAGCTAGCTACAAACCAGCCAATAAAAGGCCATGATTCCAGCTGTTCCACAAAGGCGAATCCTAGAGATTGCGTGTTTCAATCAAGAATCGGCCGTGATTGCTGCAGGAGCAGGAGCGGACCGCATCGAGTGAGTATTATACGGCTCCCGACATCCATGGACGCATTAGCAGCGAATTTCGTGTTCATGTTCTTGTCTTTCCATTGCGAAAGAACCTTCCATTAACTCGCCTAAGGCTATGTAAAGACTACCATCTCGGTGGGCTATCGGCCGACACAGATATTCTCCAAAAATTGAAATCACAGCTTACGATACCAATCTACACGATGGTTCGCCCACACGCTGAAGGATTCTATTACGAAGAATTTGACTTTGAGGTTATGAAACAAACACTCAATTCTCTCAAGTCCTGCGGGGCCGACGGTTTCGTCTTCGGGATTCTGAATCGATCTTCAAAACAGACTTGTGATCCCAATGTGTCGTGGGTCGATGTATCCCGTAACAAGGAGCTTGTCCAACTAGCTGACGGGCTCCCCTGCACATTTCATCGTGCCTTTGATGTCATTCCTGAATCCCACTGGGATAACGCATTGTCCGACATCATGGAGTGTGGCTTTACATCGATTTTAACCAATGGTGGCCCTTCAGGAACACGAGCAATGGAATGCGTTGACCAGCTGAATACTCTAGTACATTACAAAATGCAACTTCAAGGAGAAAGCAAACTTCAGAGCAACAGAGTTCCAGAAATCATTGTTGGAGGCAATGTGAGGGCATCGAACATAGGGTTGCTTCACAACATTACCGGTGCCTCGGCCTTCCATTCTGCTGCTCTTGTAGACACACAAGAGGTGGCATCGGCAACTGAGGTATTTAAAATGAAAGATGAGATAACGCGGGGATAGTATGTAGATAGAAAGGCGAAATAATACATCTACTTAATCTGTCGCACTCATAGCCTCGGATGTAGAACATATATCCGACGACCATTATTGAACCAGAGTTATATATTACCTACTCATTTTGTTGAGTCAGTTCAATATGCGGCCTGATCTTATATTATTCTGGCCGGGCATTCCTGAGGAGTGGATATAATAGATACAGACTTACAGAGCCTCCACGCGAACAATGGGAGACTATACTGGGGACGGCAAGAATCGAGATTGGCGAAAGCATTTGCGTTTTGTAATGCTATTTTCTATGAAGAGTCAGTGAAACACAGTAGAAACCTTAATCAGTTCCAATTTAATTCTTATTCCCAATGCATTCAGTGTAGAAGTATTTAACAATTCCCTCTCAGACTCAGAGCGCAAAAGAAAGATGTAAAAATAAATACTTAGGAGTCGATTGATCGGACACAATGGATAGTTCTTTGCAGTTTTCGACTACATTGTGCTTTCATATCATCACCAAGCTAGTCATTTCATCATCTATACGGACCGAAGTCATATGTTTGATGATCATTGGCATGGCGCCACTATCTACCTAGTCAGAAACCCCACATAATTGTGACTCATTCGGATCCCAGTTTATATGTATCTCACTCGCCCATCGAAAGAAGAAAAGCTTCACCACTTGGAAAACGAAAATAAAATCCTCCGATTCATCCTTTACCACTTTTCTGGTAATGTTATCTAGCTCTTCCAAGGTCGTTTTCTTTACTAACATGATGTAGTTGGACGGCCTTTTGCTATGGCTTCCGGGTCAGCGAAAACCTGCTTTGCCACCTCATCCCCATACGAAGAAAAGATTGGTTACTATCGCGCCATCCGCCATGGTAATCAGATCTTCGTTTCTGGAACGACAGCGGTTGATCCGACTTCTCCCTCTAATGCGCCGCGAATTCTTCACCCAGAAGATGCAAAGCAACAGACATGCGTTGCTCTAGAGGAGAGTATCCGTGCTATCCAAGGTCTTGGTGGTAGGGGCGTTCAGGATATAGTTCGCGTCAAAATGTTTGTCAGTCGCCATGAAGACTGTGAGGCCGTGGGACAGGGATTTAGTAAGATATTGGGCAAGGATAAGTCTCATGCGGGTGGTATTATAGGAGCTGCTGCCACAATGATTGTGGTTAATGGCGGTTTTATAAACAAGGAGATGCTTGTTGAGGTTGAAGTAGACGCTATTGTGGAGCAGGTTTGAATTGAAACTCCATCTTATGTATTAGGAAAGGTCTAGAGAGACGTAAATATAACTGGCAGAATAGAAAGAGAAAGAAAACAGGCTGATTAGGCGAGAAAACCATTGTTACTGACGACGATACCCATGTTCATTAGTGCTTAACGTACATACGTAATTAGGAAAGATATGGAAATTGAAGGCCAGATGAGTGAAATTTGAACTTGCATGATTTGTAAGCGAAAGCGAAAGCGGGAGCCCTGGAGCCCTGGATCCCTGGAGGTCCCGAGGTCCAACATTGGAATGTTGTCGATTAAGTCATGCATGTTTTCAATTAAGAAATCGATCGACTTCGGGGCTCGGGACTCGGGACTTCGGATGTGTTTATTATTACCTGTACTGTAACCGGTTGAGTTAATCTAACAATTCCGAACCGAGTACGGAGTAGTAGTGGGGTTACTTATCTTATCTGCAAACATTTATACCTTTCTACAGAGTAATTAAGATTAACTTCTCATGCCTGTTTTCTTTATACAGAGCTAGACCAATAAAAGATAATGTTACCATGCATAGTTCTACGATTCTAGAAATTTATAAAACGAGTAATCTGTACATTGTTTTCTCAATCTGATGGCTCTCTCATAAAAGTATGGAGTATTCACTCCCAGTTCGACAACGGAAGAATCTATTTCGTATCTGCCCTGGCAGGAGTCAAGTGCTCCAAATGCTCATATACTCTCTTAGCTTTCCCATCAAGGACTTCTTGGACGTACGACTCCAGGCTAATCCATTCGGCGTCTGGATACAATTCCTTGGTGGTAAGATACCCCAAGTACTTGGCGTACGTTGGTGTATTGTCTCCACGAACACAACAGGAGTACCAGTATTGATACTGACAAAGTGTGACAAATTCAGCCGAGTCTGCGCTTGGATTTGTTGCCTCGATCTCAGAAATGCTGGACCTAATAGCATCGACAGGGACCTATTGAACCATAAGCTTTCCATGTAACATAGTATGTATACGGAGGTCACTCACAAATTTGCGTTCCATTTTCTCACCGCTGAGACTTTCCAACAAGTCATATAACTGATTGTGTGTCCTGACTTCATTGTAGGCCAAAACCATCCGGTTCACAGTCCGAGGGTCAACAATGATCCGGGCAACATACTTCCCGATGTCTCTGACGTCTGTAATAGCAAAAGGAACATTACCTTCGCCCGCTATGCCGTCCATCGTTTCCATAACGGCATAATCGATGCGACCAGAAGGGAGGCGAGGCAAGGTGACCTGATACCACCAACCTACGTCGATGACGGTGTACGGAAGATTGAGTTTCTTTGCGTAGTTGAGCACGTCCTCTTTCTGTGATGGCTGTTAGTATACTCTTAACAGTAAATTCTTAAGACAAATTACCATATCTCTCAATCGCAGCCCCCCTTCGGAGGTGCAACGGTTGCGAAAAAGCACGGCAAATATCGTTTGACACCAACGGATTTGGATGCATCCATGAGTGGGATTTCATCCATGAGGTTACCACCATAGATAGTGGATATCACAATATCTACTCCCGCAAGTGCCTTTTCCAATTCTTCGGTAGGTCCATTTAGATCAGCAGCCACAATCTCCACCCCTCTCTTTGCCAGCTCGATGACTGCTGGCTTTTGAAGAGAGGACGGTCTCGTGAGACTCGTGACTTTCTAGTGTTGATATCAGTACGGTAACCACAATGTAGAACGGAAAGGGGTTCCGAACAAATTCCGGTGATTTGGACTCGAGAAGAGCCTTCACAATGACGCTGCCCGTCTGCCCAGTTGCGCCAAGGACCGCCACATGAGTGATATTGGATGACATGACGAAGTATACGAAGTGCTCCGGGACTTTGTAAAAGAGAACTGTATACCGGAATACGGTGGGCGCTATCCAGATTTATAGTTGTCTGGAATAGAACAGGTATAATGAATTATTCTTGAAGCATTTGAAAGCATTCCAAATCAAGTACACGCCAGTATTGATTTCAAAGCCTTGAAAATCAATTTATTGGTAATCATAGTGCGTTGCGAGTTAGTGAAAAAGGGCGCTTATTGCTGTGCCCGGAGGAACTACTCTAAATGGCCTACCTAACATTTGTTCCGGTATCGGGAGGGTAGAGCAAAGCAAAGACCACTATGTTGTACTGGAACAGTGGTCTGACCTGGCTTGGCCTAATTCTCTCTTATCACTCCGATCTCAATATCAGTGCCGGTTATTATGGTAATCAGTACAAAGTTGTATACCGCCTAGCCTTCAAACTGTTACATAAATGTCTAAATTTGGCATAGTAAGTGACTAATAAATTAGTTAGCTAGGTCTATGTATGTTATTTAAAAGGGCTCTAATTATTCTAGGATTCATATGAGTAAGATAAACCCAAAGTTACAGAATGTTGAGGTTCTAGCATAAATTCTTGATACGTGGTCCTTTTTTTTTCAAATTGCTTGTCGCACTTTTATATAAATTAGGTACAATTGGCATTAATCATAGAGCGATCTAATCACACTTAAATCATACATTAGGAACTATTATTTAGTTTTGACTATGTTTGATGGTTGTTAAAATGGATAACGTGAATTATCTCTAATTGGGGCGCAGCAACGCCAGGTATACAGTGGTCTTGGGCGCTTGGCGCGATTATTGTTTGGTTATCCGATAGCTATCGATAAGGCGTTTGAGCACACCGACGTATCAAGCCAAAAATTACCCTTCTGAATAGGAACTGCCATCAACACGCTAGAGGAGTTTTGTCACGGGGGCTTTAGGTCTTTTGGGTGTCTTATAGCACAACTAGGTGAACGTTTGGTAGACAGTGTAGCTAAGATGCAGGCGGTGTAATAGGTTGGTCTCAAGGGGTACTTTTGCGTAGTCACTTCCCATTGCTTATTCCAAGGTGTTGATATTCAATTGGCAGAACCCACACAAAAGTTCATATTAAGCTTCTTGCCTAGTGAAATCCTCGCTCGTGTTATTTTAATTACTGTGCATATCTATATCATAAATTTGTCATAGGTTTCTGTCAGAAAATAAAAAGGACAAATCAGTTACCAAACGGACTGCGCCTACATAGTGGGGCATTTATACCTCCAAATTACTCATCATCGTGCCACTGTGGTTTTCATTTATACAATGTTGCAGTTTATACCATTACTATTCTCGAAGAGCTTTGTTAATTTGATTTTCAATGAGAAGTTGCTCCTCACTGGTTTATCTACATACAATGAGGTACTTTCATGGTATTGTCAGGAGAGGACTACGTTGAAGTGCATGGTGCAAGAGATGCTTGATTGATGAGTTGTAAGAAGCCAATTTACAATGATTGGGAAGTTTGATAAGTATAAAACATTTAAAATTCCTTAGTTCTCCAAACAAGTTGCTCACTATGTTAGACAGCAACTGGACCGACTGGGAACGTCGAGGAGGGGATATGGCATTGGTGCACTAAAGAACCAGTTAGCATGTATGGCACCACTTTTGAAGTCTTCACACTCACTTGTGCGGACTCCATAGGAGGCCGGGTAATCAATTGAGCTATGCAATACTTCCTGTAGCAGGAATCATGGTTAACCGCCAACCCCCAAGGTCTGGTTAAAATCAAGAAAGTCAGAAATACATACCCAGTTGTTGAACATCACAACATCTCCTTCCCCATAATCGGGAATCAAGATATTCTTCGGCTTGCAGATTCGATCGAGGATATTGTTCAGCCAGACTCGAACTTCGTCGTTGTCTTCGACGACACGTTCTTCGGCGTCCGGCCCAGATTTAAAGTACAGTTTTTGAACAACATCAGGCAGGATTTGGAAAGACCGGGCACCAGTGACTGGATTCACCCAGACCATTGGGAACTTGAAAACCTTTTCCGGTACCCAGGCCGGTAGTTTATCCAGGGGCACAGTTTCCCCGCCAGGAGCCATACCCAGCCCACTATTCCGGATTTTACGAGTCCCCGACCAGACGTAAGGCTGAGGAGCCGGTGCCCAATGGCTATTGTCAGCAGTGATTTTCTCCTCGTCTGTCAGCATTTCATAAATCTGCGCACTATCAATGAATGCAGTCAATCCGGGCTTTGCTGTCATTGTCTGGCCAGAACCGTCATCCCACCGAATGGTCAGATCGGGGCCTTTGGGGGCCCTGACGCAGTGAAGCGTGGTGACTCGTGAAGGGTTGGATCCATATATCACACCATCAAAATGGAAGGCACCAAACCGTGTTTGCCTGTTCTCGAGATCCTCTGTGGTAAGGGGATCTACGTGAGCATCGAAGTGTGTTGTTGAGCGGGCGGTGATTCCTTTCAATCCATAATGGTCATCTCCTTGATATCCTTGGCCAACTATGGTGACACCCACGGAACCCGGGATTGTGTTGAACCTCGACTACATGGGGTATGATATTTTAGTAAAAAAGGATATTGCTTTTTGACGAGGTTGGATAAAATACTTACACCAAGTACTCCAATGGTCTCATCGGTTACATCCTTGGTGTCGAAGCCATGCACACCCTCTGCATCGGGATCCAGACGGTGCACAAATTCGAATTGCTTCAGGGGAATTAGGCCAGCTTGTCCTTTGACTACCACTACCTTATGAGTGTAGATGGCATTGCGGACGACTTCAAAGTCTTGATCACTCAAGTTGTTTAAATCAATACCAGTGATTGTAGCGCCAAACTATATGATAATCAGTACGAAATACATGTCAGATTATATTTTGACCGTCTTGAATAAAAAAGAACTCACATTTGCATCGGACTGCGCACCCTGAGACAAGGGCATCACTTTAACTTGAAATTCCTGCGCAGAAGACATTTCAACAATTTTGTGACTTGTATGAAATTCAATACCAACAGATTCGTTGTTCAATTATGGGCTAGATGCCCCGTTTTATAACTGCAAACATCGAGGGGAATATACCAGGAATTGGAGTACCTCGCTGAGTATTGCCGTGATTGTGTGTTCTAGGTCGCAAGTACGAGATAGGGGATGGATCGATGTCGGCAATTTACACCCAATCTACGGCTAGGTGCTTAACTCCGCGATGGAAGTTGTCAGCGAGCGGCCTCTTAGTGGGGCAGCCAACCAATGGCTCTTCATCCCTCGGTTATCTATACAGGTAAAGATATCAACTCCAATGCAACAGTTCAGATATTGGAGATACCCATTGTTATCGTCCGATAGTTTCGAACTCACATATTTAAGGCCGAAAGTATTTTAAAATATGGTTGAAGACGAACTTGATAAGTTGGCTAAATCACCCTGATCTGTGCATTTCTAACAAAATTCTCAATTCTAACCATCTGCGCGATATATTTCCATGGCTTCTACAACCCAGGAGAGTCAGGACTGGCCTCCTGGCACGTTGCTCCTTCAGGAACAATGCTCAAACGACGAGGAGATGATTCTCCAGCCGCAGCCCACCGACGATCCAAATGATCCCCTTAACTGGGCTCCCTGGAGGAAGCACCTTAATTTCGGACTTGTCTGTTTATACGCCCTTCTCATCACGGAATTCATTTGTGCAGCGACTCCAACATGGGACCCCATGCATGATCAGCTCGGGTTCAGCTGGGCAATTTTGAACGACAGCTATGCTCTTGGTTGCGGGTTTTTGGGAATTGGCGCGGTTATCTTGACACCATTCGGCCTCAAATTCGGTCGCCGCCCATTGTATCTTATCAGCACATTGGTGACTTTTGGTGTCAGCATCTGGAGCGCCAAAATGCAAAGGCCAGTTGATTTATTGTTGGTCAATGTTTTTTCTTGTCTGTTCGGTGCTCTATCGGAGGTCATAATCCAAATGACCATTGCCGATATCTTTTATGTACACCAACGCGGATTGACCAATGCCATCTTCATATGGACCGTTCAAGCAGGATCCTCACTTGGGCCCCTAGCCGCTGGGTATGTTACTGTCTCCCAGGGGTGGCGATGGGTCTGGTGGTGGAATACCATCTTGTTCGGTGTCTGCATTGTTATATTTGGGCTTTTATACGAAGAGACAAAATGGACTAGACCTTCCAAGCGAATCAATCAAGATCCAAATGGGTCTTCCTCGGAGTTTGGATCAAGTTACGACAGCTCGATGAAGGCAGCCATGGATACAAAGAGCAGCGGGAAGCATTCGATATCCTCCGAGCTTAACCGCAAGGGGGAACAGGACAAACTTCTAACTCGCCATACTGTCGTTCTAAACAAAGATATCCCTATGCGCACATGGAAACAACGAATGTCAGTTACTGCCTCATCTCCAGGCCACTGGAAGATGTTTGCGTGTCATTCGTGGCAGCCATTCCTGATTCTGGGCACATTCCCGGCTGTGCTTTTCGTGGCCCTAGTCTACGGTGTTTTAATCGCTTTACAAGATGCCATAAGCACAACGATGTCGAGTCGAATGACAGAACCGCCGTATAACTTCACTCCAGACCTAATCGGTCTCATGAATCTTCCTCAATTCATTGGTGTGACAATCGGCTCTCTCATAATCGGACCGCTCAGCGATAAATTTATTGTTTATCTCGCGCATCGAAATCATGGTATATTTGAGCCCGAGACTCGGTTGTGGATGATGTTCCCTTGCATTCCGCTGGTAGTTGCTGGAGCACTGATGTTCGGATACGGTATCGACAAAGGTGTTCCATGGCCAGTTGTGGCCGGCGGAATAGTAGTTTGCTCCGCTGGGATTGCACCGATTAATATTGTTACTCTCACGTACATTACAGACTCATATACTGATGTAAATATTCCCCGCGCCCGTGATCAGACAGAGGGTTCTCGCCCTAGATCAACTTTCAAGACAATGCTAACCAGATATCAGATTTTGGGTGACTCTATGGTCGGCATCACGTTTGTGCGAAACGCTGTAAGCACCAGCTTTATCTTCGCCCTCGATCCGTGGTTTAATGCCGTGGGGATTCAAAATGTTATACTGTCAATAACTGCCATTGCGGTATTCTTCTTGCTTTTTTCGCTATTGTTTTTGAAATATGGCAAGGCATTGCGTATTTTAACAGCATCAAAATATCGGCAATTAGCTTCAAAGCAGATGGCACCTTGAAGTGAATTGGACTAAGGGATTCGGATCCTTGAAAATTCTTCCTGTTCTCTGAGGATATTGCTTCATAGATTTATACATTGCCTTTATGCCAGGGACAATCAGATCCTTATTAAATAAAATAACACAAATAAGTTGTAGGACAACTATATATGCTTCACCAGTACATGTACTATGTAAGTAACTAAAATGGCACCGAACGACAATTCCAGCATGTATGACGATATGATTAAACATAATATCCACTTTTGTCTAGCATTCCCCCTTCCATGGGCACACAAATTTGGCGGGAAAATACAATACTGTATATTTAATAATAGTATGTTCCACCTTAATAATCGAAATGTTTTTCTATACTCACTACGGACTCTCCAATCATGATCAAGATAGATTCATGAATGGTCAAGTACAAGTATAATCAAGACTCTCATTTGTCGCTGTTCTTATCTCCTCTGCTATGTAGAAATAGGTTTAGCGTAGGATAGATATCAAAACACAAAACGATCTGGGAAGTTCTCAGCGACTATCGCTCTTATCCGTCAACTCAGTATACCCACATACGCCAGAGGGAACCGCATTTGCTTTCTATCGGTAATATCCCGGATTTTAGCAAGCCCCAAGTACCGTGAGGTCTCCCTGTCTCTTCAATTGCCCATTTGTGGAGCCAAATTTCTCTCCTCTCGGTATTCTGACTTCCCTGCGATCAATGGACTTAAGAGGAACAACTAAATCACCATAATGGTAAATCCGAAGGAAAGAAAGCCAAGGACGCGAGTTGCGAAAACTAAGACATTTAGCGGGCGAGTACTTGAATTCGTGTCCCATCTTACGAAGCCTTTTCCTAATTTTGACCATCTAACAGCTGCTGGACATGTCGCCGAAGAAAAGTGAAATGCGATCTTCAGAAACCTGAATGTCTTCGATGCCTTAAAGCAGGTCGAAATTGTGAGGGTTATAACCTGCTCCTTCATTGGATTGCCGATGAGAGAGATGGTCATCCCATCCGGCCCACCTCTATAAAGCGAAAGGCCATGCTATCTCCACGTAGGTCCGCTACCCTGTTCTATAGCCGCCTGAACCTCACTTTTATTTTGTATTTTTTTTTCCTCGGTGTTTCAACTGACGCTTCCTTAGAATCTATGGCGTGGAAGCTTGATATGCAACAGGTGGATGAAATTCTAGCTCGAGTGGATGTCGAAGGATGCCACTTTGACATGAAAACGGGCCCATTTTCGGTGTTCCAAGTTTCCAATTGCTATAGACCCACGAAATCCGCGACCACGTCGTCTAGCTCTCTAGTTCGAACGGCAACAAGTGTATCATCACTGCTTTCAGCCGCAAGTCCTCTATCCATATCAGATCAATCAGCTGTATCAGACCAAGATGAGCTGATGGCTACCTTACAGAAGCCAATTTTCCCTTCTACAATATTCCACAACAGGTGGCCATTGGCAGCGAAACTTTTCCACCACTATGCCACAAATATCACGGATCTGTTACGCCCATTCCTCCACCCTGGGAATTTCTACGGCACTGTTTATATCCCACGCGCAATAATAGGCGCTGATAGTCTTTTTAGCAGCCAGGAGTCTGAGCCACGGCGCTTTCCATTATGGAGCAACATGTCCATCTTCTACTCATTACTATCGACAGCGGCATTTCATCTCCGTGGCATAAATTCAAGAGATAATAATGACCAATGCCATCTAATGGAAAACATTGGGAGGTTCTGCCGCATGATGGCATACAGACATCTTCGTACCGCGATGACAGGATCAATGAAAAATATTGAAGAGCTCCAAAACGTGATGTCGGCAACTCTATCTCTAATAACCATTGATGTAAGCGAACTGCATTACATTCTTTCAATTCTCCCAAAACACGAAATAAACTCTATGGCTAAATCAAGTCCAGATAATGGAAGGCAGCATGTCGGAATACTGGCTCCATCTAAAAGGCTTCAAACGGCTGCAAATTCTCTGCGATCGCTTACAATCTCCAATCCAGAAACTTTGCAAAACAGAACGCTACCTCAAGACTGTGTTCTATTGTCAATCCACCCTATCTCGATCAACAGACTGTGGTCTGCGCCCACTGCCATGGCCTTCTCATCTCCTCGAAAGTGACGTTGCAGACGACAGTATCGACAATCACTGCTTGCAGCATACGTATGGAGTGACACATACCCTTCTGCGATTTATACATAATATCAAAACGCTTTCTCGGCATCTCACATACTATTCGTTGCAGGGTCTGAGTTTACCGAATGGATTAGAGCGGGAGCGGGTGGCTGTGGGTGAAAAGTTGCTCCTTTGGAATATCGAGTGTGAAGAAATTGTGCTTTTTGACCAGAGTGAAGCGGCGCGGTTGACGGCAAAGATAACAAGGCTTCACGTCCTGGCTTTTTCTTACGCTATCCAGGTTTTTTATATGACGCATCTTGTCTTGCCGGTTGATCTAGGCGACCCAACTAATGATGAAATTGCGGTGAAACTTCAACAACAGATATCACAGGTGGCATCTTGCTTGCAAAGGATTGAGATCATCAAGCGGGACAACCCAAGAGTGTTTAGAAAGCCCATGGCGCCCATCCTGTGGCCTGGCTACATTGCTTCTTGTGAAGCAGAGCCTGGGAATCGGGACCTGTGGTTGGAGTGGTGGGCAGATATGCGGAGATATCAGATTGGGAATATTCAGCCTCTGTGGAATGCCGTTCAGGAGACGTGGAAGAGTAGAGATGAGGATACATTCGGCCTTAGTGGAAGGGGTGAAGGCAACAGTCACAACCAGGGCCTTTCGCGTTGCTTGCCATTATGGAGGGGCTTTTTACGGGGTAGGCAGGATATGATCTTCGCTCTTTAAAGGTGCTACTATATCTTGGGACAAAGGTCCGCGGCATGGCATGATGTAGTTCATCTGACCCCTATTGTAACGGATAAACATCCTTACCACATATAGCGAAGGTACCTATATATTTATATATTCGCTTGCCCATCTGATCATAGCGGTAAGCTTCTATCGTTGATATTCAACTCTATGTTATATATTTTTTATTATTTGGCAACAAAGCCGCAAATACCTTGAGGGAACTGACAACGTAGACATGATATTGATTTTGAGTAAGTTTGCCACTAAATCTCGAGATGTATATTTGAGTTACGAAACGTAATTGAAGAGTACTATGAATATCGGCGATTAGCGATGAATATTTTGTTATTTATCTCTATTTTAGTGTTTATTTATTTTTTACTATGAGAAGGCAAGGAACTGATCTTTTCATTTTGAGAGCTATTACGATCATTCCGGAACTTGTCTCAAGAAAGGGTTAGGTAGATTTCCATTAAAACAGAATGCTAGAATACCTTACAATCTGTACAAGGAAATTGGTCTTCCAGGTCATGTGAAAAATGACAAATATCTTCCGAGGCCAGGGAGTTGCCCCGCCCCCAACGATGTAAAGCCCTTTCCCACAAACAAGCTTTCCACCCCTCGGTGGCCTAACCTCCATTATCCAGAGCCTCGTCCCCCCACAAGGTTTCTTCCTCGCATAGTAGCCCACTAAGAATGGAATCTGCACACCTAGACCCTGCGGCAGTGGGCCCAGGAACCCAAGGCCCCCAGTTCCTGTGGGTAGATTATCAGGATGGCGTACCGCAGGACCTTCCTTTCGCTCGGACCAAACATGCTTTTATTCGAGCCCGCAGTCATCGATTACGGCGGGAGACAAATCTGGAGAAATTGAAGGCGTCTATGGTCCCGTTCCCGACTAGCCTAGTGCCGCCACCTCATGATGCGGGCCGCAACATACGCAATCCTCCCGCCAAAAATCATTCTAAAAAAGCTCGCACCAATGACCGTGATTTATGGGTACCAGTACTATACCAGTCTCCCCTAGCCGGAATAAGAGAGGCATTTCCCTCCCTTTCTTCCGCTTCAAATGCGAATCTTCACTTTGATTACTGTAAGCACAACAGTGAATCTACGACACTAGTAACTTTGCGTTCGCTAAGGCTATCTGACCGTCACTGCAGACCGTATCCATGTCTCCAAAGTCTCGTTTCCCTTTAGTGCCACAGAAATGGCCACCTGTTTTTTCCGGAAGGCCCTAGACCAGCCAGCTCTGGCTGAGACCATATTATTCCTTAGTGCATCAAGCCACACCGCGAATTTAGTCACGCGTGGAGCAGCGGCGAGCGAAGTGCGGAAGTCTTTCCGAGACATGATCCAACTCCGTTCTCGAGTAATGAAGTCGCTACAGGAGATCATAATGCGCCCTTCCGAGGTCCAGACAGAGCTGACAGTCGCCGTGATTACGAATCTCCTTTGTGTGGAGGTAAGTACCCATACCGAAAAGACGAAGCATAGAATTAAAAAGGGGTCCTAAGCTCATCTCACCATCTTCTGTTAGGCAGCTCAAGGGAACTTGAAGGAGGTGGATGCTCATGTTGCCGGCCTGAAAGGAATCATCAATGTTCTAGGAGGGTTGGAAGTTCTGGGAGACTGGGCTATATCGACTATATACTGGTAGGTCGCAATCCGCAATGTGGTGAAAACCAACTAACTTTGCATCATGGGTAGTTGTGACCTTATGAGGGGGCTCTTATTAGATTCACCGCCAGTCTTTGACCTTCTGCCCAAATGGGCGCTGAAAACCCAAAACGGTTGCGCTTATTTCAAGTCATACAACCCATCTTTTTCGGTCGGAGAACGTTTCTTTAGTTCTACATGGTCTCCGAATATTCCTCCCCAGCTGCAGTCAATTATTCAGTCCTTCCAACAAGTAATTCCGTGCTTCGAGAGCATGGCTGACTTGGAATCACGGACCCTTACCTTTGAAAATGATTATTTGTTGCTCTTAATGCACCGACTGTATTCTCTGCCGTACGACTACCCACTAGAGCCCTTGCATAATACAATTCGGCTCTCGGTGATAATTTATGCTGTGGTTCGAATCTGGAAACTTGAAGGAAAGCCAGGTACCGAGTGCCTCATCCAAAGACATCGCCAAAGCATCGAAAAATGTCTCGACGATCTTGAGCGGACGGCACCAGACCTACTTTTCTGGGCTCTCTTTTTGAGCAGCCTTGCCTCTCTAGGGCTGCCATCCCACGGCTGGTGTTTGGTCAACGTTCGAAAGGCTGCGGTGCAACTTGGTCTGAAAAATTGGAATGACGCAAAGCGGGTTCTAGAGGACTTTTTTTTCGTATGCCGTCCGCACAATGAGAATGCCAAAGCCCTTTGGGATTTAGACATAGAACGTTATAGCCGCTGTTTGTGAAAATGTTTCTTCTATCTTTAGGTTCCATGGTGTACAACTCACTGGACAGCCACCAAATTTCCAACCCCCCTTAGCTCAATGTTTATTCTGTCTATTTCTTTATTTAGCTTTGGCCAAACTCAACAAAACGAGAATTAAAGTAGCCACATCGCAAATCGTTTATGCGTAAGGCTTCCTTGGGGATTGAAGGTTAGGCCGAGGAGCCGCGGTCTCTTAACTCTACTATGCGGGAGTAGACTTTACCAAGTCCTTACAGACCGGAAAATAAATGGACCGTCATGATAACGGTACCATACAAAAGTACTTATATCCCTCAAGTTTTTTTCTATAATCTTTTATTATATATAATCCTCCCGGGGTGATTCGGTAAGTCGGCAAAACCGGATATGACTAATAAAAGAAAATGAAGTCATGTCTTTATAGGGTTTTGTCAAGTACTATGCATTTATGCATGCTGAAATTACCAGGTCTTTACAAACCGGGAAATCAATGGACCGTCATGATAACGGTACCATACAAAAATACATACATTGCTTAATCAGCTATGTCCGCCGAGATTGGAAAAGAGCGGATCTTGTCATTTTAGTTAGTTAGAGAATTTACATATGTCAGATTTACCATACATTGTCGTATCCGTCTATTTCTGTCAGTTATGAGCCCGGCTTCGTTCCAATTAAGATCTGTCTACAACATATAGACCATCTTTTACCTAGCTGTCGCCGATTCACAGTGGTTTTGACAACGGTCAACCCCTGAATCGTCGAAGCACCCCTATCTCCTTCGAAGAAGATCAGATTCATCGACGAAAATCGACAATAATGAATATCATGTTAAGCCTCTCCGCGGCCTCCTCCCGCGTCATTTTGAAGGATACAGAATCATGGGATGCATGGCTCTCATATATTAAAGCAATTGCAGTTGCATATAAAGTATGGGATCAATGCAATCCGTCTCTTAAGGAGGAAGAACGTCCTAAATTGGAACCACCTGAAGAGATCATCTCTGTCAAAGATGCCATAAAAGAATACCCAGAACACTGGTTCAATGTGAGGCTATCCCTAAAAGCAGATTGGGATGCAGAGAACAGAGCCTATCAGTCGAAACTACAGGCATTAGATCTAGTGGCGGTGGCAATTAGGCAGTCAGTTGATACTCCCTACCAGCCCTTTATCATTGATATACCATCACCTTTGGAGCTGATGCTCAATCTCCACAAACGATTTGCACCAGAGAGCGATCCTACATACAAAACTAAGCTCCGTCAACAGTGGCGGAACCTAGATAGAGGCCTAGATCGGAACACCGATATCGAGAAATGGCTTCTAAACTGGGAATCGCTTTACCAATCGTGTAAGAAGGCAAGGATGCCAGAAGCAGAGGATGCCACGAATCAATTCCTTGAAGCAATCTCTATAATGTCGCCTGGATTCTATGAAACATGGGCTCTCAGAGTACAGGATAATCAGGACATCCCTTTCTTCGAAATCATGACTCGGTACAAAGCCCACTGGAAGATTACCCATGGCAGGCCGGCTGCGCAAAGAGGCATCTCAAAGGCTGCTTTCTCGACATGGCAAGGCAATGAAGAAGCAAAGCCTATAGAGGCAAGGAATGATGGCCTAGAAAGAAGGCCATGTCCATGTGACAGGGTAAAATCGAGAGTTCATATGCCTTGGGCCTGCTGGGAAATCTATGAAGATAGAAGGCCTGCTAATTACCAGCCCTCACCGGCATTGAAACAGAAGTGGGAGAAGGCCATGAAGGCTAATCCTAGATGGAAGGCAATTGTCGACAAGAAGCGAGCTGCATATGCAGAAGGCCAAGGGGGACCCTTGCTAAAGAGCAAGCGAATACAACCCTCGACGATGAAGCCTTTGGCTTCTTGACAACCAACGCAGTCAAAATTGACACCGTTATGTCAACAAAAATCAAGGATTTTGAAGCCACAACTACACCTACAGAAGACAGATGGGTAGTTGATACAGGTGCTCAAATCCACGTATGCAACAATCGGAGCTTGTTTAGCACCTTTAAAAGCGTACAGAGCAACGTCAAAGTGGGAGATACAGAGACGAAGGTGGCCGGTATAGGCACTGTGGTCATCTATGGTGTAAACCCTACCACTGGAAGCGCCGTTAAGATGAACCTATTTCAAACTAGGTACTCGCCAAACTTCCATAGTAATCTGATATCTCATGGATTGATGATGAAGGGGGGCCTATTAATGAATCTCAGAGCAAACTGCATTGAGACAATTGATGGCCATCGTCAGATCTATAAGATCTACCACGATCAGAAGCTATCATGGCTCACCCAGACAAGGGGTTTTATAACCCAAAAGGCATCAGATTTGAAGCCTGAAATGACGTTTGCCACTAAGAAATCCAATCAGGAGCCAAAATCTGAGGCTTCAATTGAGCTCTGGCATCGTCGATTAGGCCACATTGGCAAGGCGCGAATTGTCAAACTGGCAGAGATGACTGAAGGAATCACTATTGCAAGCAACCCAGGCAAAGAAATGCAGGTATGTGAAGCTTGTCAATTGGCAGATGCACCTAGGCAAATCTCTCGCCGGAAGATAGGCCAGGCATATGGTATATTAGGGAGAGTACACTTCGATCTAGTACAAAACCAGCCTGCCTACAACGGTCATATATGGATGACGCACTTCTATCTCGATGGAATAAGGTGTCACTTCGTATTTACCCATATAAAGAAGAGCGAGTGTCAGATGGCAGTTCGTAAATTCTTAGCATTGATCCGAAACTGGTTGAAAATCGAGATCAGGGTATTTCATTATGATAATGAGAGAAGCGCCGGCAATGAGGTTGAATCTATGATTGAAGACGAAGGGTGTACCATTGAGCATGCACCACCTGGCTTGCCAGAGATGAATGGACCAGCAGAGAGATCTGGAGGCATGATAGTAAGGAACGGCAGAGCATTGCTCAATGGTACGAACCTACCCCACAATCTATGGCCAGAGACGATGTATGCATCTGCATATATGATGAATCGTACCCCTACAAAGATGGATGGTAAGTGGATCATACCATGGAAGGAATTGATGCGCTATGCGGCTCCAGATGGCTTAAAAGATCAAATTGTCAACCTGTCGAATATGAGGCTATATGGGTGCTTAACGTACTCAAGGCTTCTGAAGAGAGTACAATCTAACAAGATGGCTCCGAGAGCAGAGATCGGCTATCTTGTAGGCTATGTTTCAAAGAGCCTATACAAGATCTGGTTTCCATACAAAGGGCGAGCAGGCATAGGCAGAGTTGAAGTTGTAAGAGATGCTGTATTCGATGAATCGAGACAGTACTCTAAAACGAAGCCTTTACCGCAAGAAGAAGATGCAATTAGTACTATGACAAATGGACTAAGCGCTAAGAACTGGCCCCAAGTGCTCTCAATGGAAGAAGCGCAGTCAGAATTGAGCATAGAGATGCGTATGCCGATGTCAATTGCTCGCATAACTCTCAATGATGACGTCGAAAACCGAGAACAAGGTACTGCACCAGAGGCGGTAAATGAAGAAATCCAGGAATCTAGAGTTGTGGAGCAAGCTCAAACTCTAGATAGTAGGGAGGAGACACCAAGGGTCCCCCCTTTAAAGGAAACACCTGTTTTACCTTTAACACCGGCTTCAATGGCAGGCCCTGCTTCAGTGGTAGAACATATCTCAATGATAGAGGTAAGGGATCAAGAACAGATCCCTGGGAGCTTCCCTATGTCACCACAGAGAGCCTCACCACAAAGAGCACTATCGTCGATTGCTACGATTGAGAGTACGCCACATGAGAGATCTCCTACCTCGCTATCTTCGCCAGATCCGATCAATGTCATACAGTCGATCGAAGCTGAAGGGGGAGAGGGAGATCAATATGATGAAGATGAAGCAGAGATAGAGCGTCAATTGCAACAAGAGATGCAGTATACGCCTACTCCAGAGCCAGAAGATCGGCCTACTAGAGAGATCTCTGCGTCAATTGATGAATCTAACATCATCTCAGGCCCCAGAATACGGAAGCCAAAGGCAGATCCAGACTACACTGCATATCTATCGCTAGACGAGAAACAGCTAGCCGAGCCACCAAGCCTTCTATATGCCTTTACAACAGGTATTACGAAGAAGCTCAATATGCAAAACAGACTGCATAGAGATCAGATGCCTCCACCACCAGAGAACTGGAAGCAGCTAAAAATCCATCCCTTTGCCACGCAATTGAAGGCAGCTGCGGAGTTTG